TTTATGTGATTGGTATCGGTGATCGGTATCGGTAGGAAAAAACCTGATCGTCACATCTCTAATGAAAACCTAAAATTACTACATGAGTCTTCATGAAGGGGCTGGCACTCTTTTTGGTGGACAGAGCACCTCCCTTTGATAATGGTAGATAAAATGCTGCTCAATTACAAGATTTTTATTTCCTCCTAGCTTATTGTCCCATGCCTGAAGGTGGAAAGAACATGGTTCTCACTGATGAATCCCTCCTAAGAAAGGATTTCCCAGATGGTACCAATCTCACATATGAGTGCAGCAACGGATATGAAAAAGAAAGTGGCTCTGAGAACATAACTTGTATTGGTGGGAATTGGACTGAGTCAGATCTAATCTGCAAGGGTGAGTCCTGATGTTGCACAGACACATGAAAAAAGTGGTTTGTAAAATGTTTGTGTGGGCAATGAAACATTTTCGTTTTCTGCATCTGCACCAGCCTATGTGACCAGTGTAAAAAAACATATATATGTTTCCATCCCTGATTCTTCAGAAATGACTCCTCAGTGAGGGATTATAGAAATGCTGGTAAAGATCGACCTGCTCTATAACAGCACCGTACAATTTGAATGAAAGATGGTGTATGCAGAGTGATCCCACAAATATTTGTAGGTGACCAAGCAGGCGCACACTTGGCCCCAGTTCAAATTGTCAACAATAAACCTAGCGTTAGAGAGAACTGAAAGTAGTGGAGTAGTGATCACTTCTGTTGTCAGTCATGTTGTCAGATCATGGCTGACAACATGATCTTAAGTTATTTAGTTGAAAAAATTAATAGCATTAAGTCCTACACAAGTCTTCATGGGGGCTAGGTGGTCTTGTTGGCAGGCTGGAGCGCCCATGTTTGATAATGGCAGGTGAAATGCTGCTCAATTACAAGGCTCATGCAAGATTTTTATTTCCTCCTAGCTTATTGTCCCATGCCTAAAGGTGGAGAGAACTTGGTTCTCACTGATGAATTCCTCCTAAAAAAGGACTTCCCAGATGGAACCAAGGTCATATATAAGTGCAGCAATGGATTTGAAAAAGAACGTGGCTCTGAGAACATAACCTGCATTGATGGGAATTGGACTGAGCCAGATCTAATCTGCAAGAGTGAGTCCTGTCTAATTTACACATTAAAGTTACTTTACCCTAAAGTGTTGGTAATTTGTCAAAATGTGTCTTGCTAACATATCTAAGTGGAAATTTGCGATTTGGAATAGGAGATTGCAACATTGATGATTACTATGAACAAAATCTATAAGCAAATGGATGGTGCATGAATGTCAGTTATAGATAATGTCTGTTGTACATGCCAAATTAAAATTAGCTGCATGTTGCATGTCTAGAATATATCAAAATTCAGAAGAAATGTACTTCGGATGATTGCAGCTGAATCCTTTGTGAAAGGATAAACCACAGAAGCCAAAATTGCAACCAAAAGTATTTCATCTGCTCCTGCAACAAAACAATGTGTAGAATATGAAACAAGAATATTTTGGCACAGTTTCACATTTTTACTGTACTTTGTGATGAGGATATTTCTATAAAAGTTTATTAAAAAGAATGCGTCCCCTTTAGAGACTTCCTTACCACACCACAATATTGAGTCGGGTTGTGGGGATAGCAGCCTCTGGAGGGAGTCCCAGATTTCCCTCTACCCAAAAACCTGGACCAGCTCCTCTGGCAGAATCCCAAGGCGTTCCCAGGCCAGCTGAGAGATATAGTCCCCCCAGCATGTCTGGATTCTTCCTGTGGTTCTCCACTGAGTAAGAAGTCTCTGTAGCACCTCACCAGGGAGGCATCCAGGAGGCATCTTAACTCGATGCTCGAGCAACCTCAACTGGCTCCTCTCAACGTAGAGAAGCAGTGGCTCTAATCTGAGTCCCCCCTGATTGACCAAACTTGTCATCATATATCTAAGAGGGAGCCCAGACACCCTGAGGAGAAAACTCATTTGGCCATTTGTGTACGTGATCTCATTCTTTCTGTCATGACCCAAAGCTCATCATCATAGATAAGGGTAGGATCGTAAGTTGACTTACGTTGGTAAATCGACAGCTTCACCTTTGACTCAGTTCTCTTCACGACAAGAGACCAGTACCGCGCCTTCTTCGCTGTAGAAGTTGCACTAATCTGCCTAATGATCTCCTGTTCAGAGTAATACCATGTTATGAAAATATTACTACAGCCAGGGCATCATAATCCACTTTATGAAAAAGTTTTATTAAAAAGCTCTAAATGTCATAAATGTATTTTTAAATCAAGGTGGAAAGCAGATTTTTAACTTACAATTTGTCAATGCAGCAATGATGTTCTGTTCTGTTTTTGTTTTTTGTTGTTGTTGTTTTTGTCATAATCAAGTGGATTTTCTGTATACTACACCGGGAAATAAATTATAGATTTCTCAGACAACGTAGGAGTGAAAACCACTGATCACCGGTTTGGTGACGACCTTGGCGAGCCACTGCCTTACGAAATATTCTAACAAGTAATGTGGCATGTTTGGAGAATGATAAATGGATGTTTCTCCTCTCTTGACACCTCTGCAGGAGTTGTATCAGTTTCCTGAAGAATTGTGAAGTCTGAGATGTTTTTCTTATAAAGACTTAATCGAATCTTTGCTATAATTATGTAAATCCACTAAGTACACTGTTTTGTACTTGCAGAGCAGAGTATAGTAGAGACTATAAAAGAAGGTGAGTTATTGATATGAAGTCTAAAGTTGAGAGCAAGATGTGTTACCATTGGTTGGGCTTTGAAATGATTTTATCTGTCTTTACAGGAAATACACCTCCTGTGGCCATTTTTGCAATAGGTAACATGAATTAAAGTTTCTCTCTGTGAAATTAATATTAGCATTTTCTGTGACTAAAAGTGAATAAAACATGTATTTTCTTTCATTTTCTTCACAGTTTGCTCCATAGTTGGAATTTTTATAAACATCTGTCTAAAGAGAAGATGATGGTGAGATATTG